GCCATGCAGAAACTTCTTGATCTAATGTAATCCCACTTGTCTATTTTGGGGATCATTGACAATGCTTTGAAGGTCTTATTTAAGAAGTCTTTGCCTAGCCCAATGTCTCCCAGACTTTCCCCAGTGTTTTACAGGAGCAGTTTTATAGTTTGGTGTCTTAGATTTTGACCCTTGATCCACCTTGACTTGATTTTTGTCAAAGGTGAGAAGTAGGGTTTCAGATTCATCTTTCTGCAAGTGGAGATCCAGTTTTGCCAGCACCATTTGTTGTAGAGGATTTCCTTTTTCCACTGAATTGACTGGTACCCCTTGTCAAAAATCAGTTGGCTGTATGTTTGAGCATTTATTTCTGGGGACTCTATTCTGTTCCATTGGTCCACCTGTCTGTTTCTGTGCCAGTACCATGCTATTTTGATTACCACAGCTTTATAGTATATTTTTGGGTCAGGGAGTGAGATGCCGCCCATTCCACTCTTCTTGTGCAGAACTGCTTTGGCAATACGGGGTCTTTTATGATTCTAGACAAATTTTATAATTGTCTTTCCTAGATCTGTGAAGAATGTGTCTGGTCCTTTGATGGGCATTGCATTAAATATGCAGATTAATTTGGGTAGAATTGCCATTTTGATTATATTAATTCTTCCAATCCAGGAACATGGGATGTCCTTCCACTTTTTTGTGTCATTTTCAATTTATTTTTTTATCTTCTCATAGTTTTCCTTGTGGAGGTCTTTAACTTCTTTGGTTAGATTTATCCCTAAGTATCTTATACTTTTTGTGGCTATGGTAAACAGAACAACTTTTTTCAATTCTTTCTCAGTCTGCCTGTTGTTCGTATACAGAAATGCTATAGATTTCTGGATATTTATTTTGTATTCTGCAATGTTACATCATTCATAAATATACCCCAAAAAAAAAAAAAAAGAAAGAAAAGAAACCAGACACCCCTAATCAAAACTCCTTTAGTGGCTTCTCAGAAAGAATAAAAGCCAAGATCCGGCCAGTGGATGGCCAGGCAGCTAGACTGGCTGGATCCTACAATGGCTGATTGGATAGTTTGAGTTCATGACCAGGTAACTTTAAAAATCACAATGGGTATGGGTATGAATGCCCAAAATCCTGAAAGGAAAAAGACATGGATGAGAAGAGATTACAGAATAACTCTGCTTCATGTGTGTGTGTGTGTGTGTGTGTG